TTCGCCACGTGTCAATCTGGTTGGAGGAGTAAATGGACAGAGGACAGTTGTCATGATGTAAGTTATCTTTCTCATACATGATTATATGAAATTACTTTTTTGTCCTTTGCTTTTTTTATTTATTTATAGAAGTTCTGTTTTGTAAAATCGGGTGCGTTTGCATTGCAGGCCTGGAGTAGCTCGTGGAAGAGGAGGGAGTGCATTTAATCGTACATCTGGGTAGGGTTTATTGTTTATTATACCAGATCAATATTTAGGGTTATAATGCTATAATTGGGTAGATTTTTTAGTATGATTCCTTAATTGGAAAAAAATAAATTCTAGAAGTAAGTTGCTATTTGTAGCGTTAAGCCATATTTCTAATCATAAAATTATTTGTGTAGTAATTAATCTTTTTTTTTTTTTGTAATTATGTGATGTAGTCAGAGAAACCGTGGTGGCATAAAGAATAGCCGTGGTGGTGGTGTTGTAAACAAGCGTGGCGGCGGTGGTGGGCGTGGTGGCGGTGGTGGTGGTCGTGGGCGGGGAAGAGGGAGGAAGGTGGCGGGGGGTGACAAGTCAGTTGATGAACTTGATAAGGAATTGGAGAAGTATCATGCCATGCAGACCTAATAAGGCTATGGAAACACCAAGTACTTAAAAATACAAGTAGATTTAATATTTGATTAGTTGTGTACAAAAAGCGTATTTGGTTTTGCAACAGTGTGTTTTTAATCTTTTCGATTCAACTTCTGACCAAATTGCCCCTGGTGTTGCTTTGATGAAATTCAACTGTTATGATGTGGAGACATCAAAGTTTATAGTTTTCTTGATCAATTTGATAGGTATGTTTGCTTTTGGAAAGAATCTTTTTATTACAAGTACTTGAAAAACAACCATAATTGTAATTCTGTCGCTGATATGTGAAGATAAGGACCCAAAGAAAAGGAATTGATCACGAAATGGGGTGTGCAGAAAAATTCTAAAGACTTGTGTAAATAAGCAGTTGTGGAAAAATGAGAAACAAACAATAATACAGTTGTATTTCACTTTTTATATAATTATCTTCATATTTATATTCTTTTCCGGTTTTCCCTAATTCACACCTGCAATTTTAAGTGTAGTACACACCTTTGTGGAAAATTTTGACATGTTAAAAGACATGCCTTGTGGAAAAATTTGACATTGTCTAAATTTCCCTTTCGAGCATGTGAAAAAGAAAACAGTAGAACATGGTAGCTCAAGTATAAGTTAAGACAAGCAAACCATTCCTTTTGTTATTGAAAGTAAAATAATGTCTTCTTCAAACTTGTTACTTTTCTCTATAAGTCTACTTATCATCACATTCTCCGTGATACCAAATTTCACTTCTGGATCTTTGGAGGAAGCTAATGCTCTTCTTAAATGGAAAGCAAGCCTTGAAATCCCAAAAAACTCATTGCTCTCTTCATGGATTTCCATCCCTTTGAATTCTAGTGCGTCTGTTCCATGCACTTCTTGGTTTGGAGTAGTTTGCAATGCTGGTGGGAGCATTCAGAAGTTGAACCTCACATCATCTGGATTAATGGGTACGCTTCATCGATTTTCATTCTCTTTGCTACACAATCTTACGTATTTTAATCTCAATCTAAACAACTTCTTTGGCCCCATTCCACCAGAAATCCAACTTTTGTCCAAACTTGTATATCTTGATTTTTCAAAGAATAAGTTTTCTGGAGTAATACCACCCGAAATAGGAAACATGCACCAACTAACCATCTTGTACTTACACTCAAACAACATCTCTGGTCCCATTCCCATTGAACTTGGGAATTTGAAGTCTCTCACCGAGTGTAAGGTGTACAACAATCAACTTAGTGGTTCTATTCCTTCATCATTGGGTAATTTGACATCTTTGAATATCCTTTATTTGTATGGAAATCAGCTATCTGGTCATATTCCCATTGAACTTGGTAATTTGAAGTCTCTCAATAAACTTGATGTGGGTGAAAATCAACTTAGTGGTTCCATTCCTTCATCATTGGGTAATTTGACATCTTTGAATGTACTTTATTTGTTCCTAAATCAACTCACTGGTCCCATTCCTATTGAACTTGAGAATTTGAAGTCTCTTGTCGAGCTTGATGTGGGCGACAATCAACTTAGTGGTTCTATTCCTTCATCACTAGTAAACCTCAGCAACCTACAGTCGCTAATCCTCAGTGTTAATAAGTTATCTGGTCCCATTCTTAGTGGAATTGGGAAGTTGAAGTCTCTCACTCATCTTTCGGTGAGAGGAAATCATCTTAGTGGTTTTATTCCTTCATCATTTAGTGATTTGAGATCTTTAAATCTCCTTTATATGCATCACAATGAGCTTGTTGGTCCCATTCCTAATGAACTTGGGAAATTGAAGTCTCTCACTGATTTTCAGGTGAACAACAATCAAATTAGTGGTTCTATTCCGCTAGAGTTTGGAAATTTAACTCAACTACGAAGACTTAATCTGTGTTTGAATCATTTGGTTGGTGAGATCCCAAAGGAGTTTGGGAAGATAAAAAGTATGCTGGAATTGTACTTGGCTGGCAACCAACTTTCAGGTGTTATACCTCTAGAGCTTGGATTTTGTGAACTCCTTGAAGTACTCGATCTATCTAAAAATATATTGAATGGGTCGATTTCAAGAAGTATCGGTCAATGGTCACAAATCCACTACTTGAATCTTAGTAATAACAAGATCAGTGAGAAAATTCCATCCGAGATTGGTAAATTAGTTCATCTTACAGAACTTGATTTATCTCATAATGTTCTCACGAAAGAGATACCATCTGAAGTACAAAGTTTGCAGAGTTTGCAAAAATTGGATCTTTCTCACAATAGACTATCTGGTTCCATTGCTGATGCTTTTACAGGTTTGCCTAACGGTATTGATATCAACCTTTCTTACAATGAGCTTTCAGGTCCAGTCCCCCATTGTGCAAACTTTGTGAATGCGTCCGTAGAAAGCAATCCAGATTTGTGTGGGAATATTACTGGATTGAAACTTTGTCCAAGTCAAATTATGAAAAAGAAAAATGATCCTTTTCATCATAAACTTATCCTTGTGATTACGCTCCCCCTTATCGGGGCTGTTTTACTTGGTGTATGCACATATGGCCTTATTGCTTATCAACAACAAAAGAAAAAGTCTCCTCAAAAACCATCGGACGAAGAAACTGGTGATTATTTCTCTATCACAGGTTTTGATGGAAAAGTGGTGTATGTTGATATCTTGAGGGCAACAAATGATTTCGATGAAGCATACTGCATTGGGATTGGAGGATATGGGATTGTGTACAAAGCCGAGCTACAACCTAACAAAATGGTAGCTGTCAAAAAACTTCACTCATCATTTGAGAATGTTGATCATAATGGATTCCTTAATGAGGTACGAGCATTAACGAACATAAGGCATCGGAACATAGTGAAACTCTATGGATATTGCTCCCATGTTCGCCACTCATTTTTGATTTATGAATACCTTGAAAAGGGAAGCCTTGGATCATTCTTAAGAAGTGATGTCTTAGCAAAAGAATTGGATTGGTTAAAAAGAGTAAATATTGTAAAGGGTATAGCTAATGGTTTGGTTTATATGCATCACGACTGCTCACCTCCTATAATTCATAGAGACATTTCCATTGCCAACATCCTTCTTGATTCTGATTATGAGGCACGTATTTCTGATTTTGGGACCTCCAAGCTTTTAAAGCTAGACTCATCGAACTGGACCGTAATTGCAGGCACATATGGTTATATCGCGCCAGGTAACACAATTGTGTGATTGTACTTCTACATCTTCTTAAGTTTCATGATATATATATATATATATATATAATATATATATATATATATATATAAGTATATGCACATATATGTATCTATGTCAGAATCTTGTGGGTTGATATAGTGTTTTTTTGTTTTTATCTCATGTTCCTTTGGATGTAGAGCTTGCTTTTATGATGGTGGCAAATGAGAAATGCGATGTGTATAGCTTTGGAGTTGTTGCAGTAGAAGTGATAATGGGAAGGCACCCTGGAGAACTATTAACAACTTTACCAACATTGTCTGCTGATCATCTGGTGCCAACAAATGTGGGAGATAGTCGGATACCTCCTCCCTCATTCGAAGTAGAGAAACAAGTTAAGTTGGTTCTGAGTCTCTCGAGAGCATGTTTGAACTCCAATCCACATGAAAGACCAACAATGCAACATGTTTCAAATCTGTTAATGAAGGATCTACTTTGAATTGACATCTCTTGCCTGATCAATATAATGTACTTTCAGTGTTCTTTACTTTTCTTAAGTTCCCTATATGCACCCTGCCAATATGTATTCATTTGAATGGCATTTTGTTAAGAAACAAGTCTAAAAGCGTATCAAAAGATTCTGTCCCATTTCTGTGTTGGTTGATGATATATATAATACAATTTGAGATCCTTTATTTTAGGACCTTATATACATGCCTTATCTCCAAATATATTTAAAATATAATACACACACACACACACACACACACACACATATATATATATATATATATATATATATATATATATATTATATATATATATATATATATCCTAGTCTAATATATCCCCGCAGTCGAACGGGAGGTGAGCAGATGTTGAGACTGGAACGGAAGTCATCAAATAAAACCCGAGGTAGTCCTTTAGTAAAAACATCAGCGATTTGATAACGAGACGGTATATGATACACCCGAACCTGGCTGCGTTGAACCTTCTCCCGAACAAAATGTATGTCTAATTCTATGTGTTTCGTTCGCTGATGTTGGACTGGATTGGCTGTCAAATAAATTGCGCTAATGTTATCACAATAAACAATAGAGGTGCAGGAATGTGGGTGATTAAGCTCCAAAAGCAAATTTCGAATCCAACACAATTCTGCCACAACATTTTCCACACCATGGTACTCTGCCTCGGTACTAGATTGGGATAGAGTGGTTTGTCGCTTAGACGACCAAGATCGTAGATTATTTCCGAGAAAAATGCAAGATCCCAAAGTGGAGCGTCGAGTGTCCGGGCAGCCGGCCCAATCTGCATCAGTGTAGGCTATTAGGGAAGTAACAGGAGACTTATGAATGGTGAGACCGAATGAGATAGTCCCTTGAACATACCGTAGAATCCGCTTGAGTGCATGTAGATGTGACGCTCGAGGTGCATGCATATACAGGCAGATTTGTTGCACGACATATGTGAGATCGGGTCTTGTGAACGTTAAATATTGAAGTGCCCCAGCCAAGCTTCAGTAAGAAGTTGGGTCATCAATAAGTGGACCATCATTAGCACTTAGTTTTCCCGATGTATCAACCGGTGTGGCTACGGGCTTACAATTTGACATTCCTGCCCGTTCTAAGATTTCAGAGACATATTTTTGTTGAGATAAATGCAAACCAGAGGCTGTTTTGGAGACAGCGATCCCAAGAAAAAAACTTAGAGAACCGAGATCTTTCATAGCGAATTCATGAGAGAGTTGAGCCATCAATCGGTTACCAAGAGAATCGGTCGATGTAGTAAGGATGATGTCATCGACGTATAAAAGTATGTAAGCTTTTTCCTGACCGTGATGATAAATAAATAGACAGTGATCTGATGCACTGTTTTTGAAACCCAAAGTTAGAACATAATCAGTGAACCTTTGGTACCAAGCCCTCGGTGCTTGTTTTAACCCGTAGAGGGACCGTTTAAGACGACATACGTGATCAGGAAAACGAGAGTCTCGGAACTAGGGGTGTAAGTGAGCCGAGCTACTCGTGAGCTACTCGGGATCGACTCGTTAAAAGCTCGACTCGAGATCGAATTAAACGAGCCTGAGCCGAGCTCAAGCCTAAATATGAGGCTCGTTTATTAAATGAGCTCGAGCCGAGCTTCAATTAATGGGCTCGCGAGCCTAAACGAGCTTAAACGAGCCTCTCTCTCTCTCTATATATATATATATATACACACACACACACATACATACATACATACATACATACATACATACACACACACACACACACACACATATATATATATATATATACACACACACACACACACACATAGAGGCTCGTTTAGGCTCGCGAGCCCACTAAATTATTCATGAGCCGAGCTCGAGCTTCATTTTAAGGCTCGAATCGAGCTCGAGCTTCCTCAAATTAAACGAGCCGAGCTCGAGCTTTGTCAGGCTCGGGCTCGGCTCGGCTCGTTTACACCCCTACTCGGAACCCAATCGGTTGATGCATAAACAATGTTTCAGATAAATGACCGTGAAGGAAAGCATTCTTGACGTCGAGTTGGTGAATCGGCCAAGAATGAGAGACAACAATGCTAAGGACTGTTCGAATAGTAGACGGTTTTACCACTGGGCTAAAAGTTTCACCACAATCAATTCCCACCTGTTGAGACCTGCCATCACAAACAAGACGGGCCTTATAGCGTTCAAGGGACCCGTCAGCATTAGTTTTATGTTTATATATCCACATACATCGAATTACATTCATATGAGGTCGACGAGGAACAAGTTCCCATGTCTTATTTTCAACAAGAGCATTAAATTCATCTATCATGGCAGACTTCCAAACGGGAGTTGAAAGGGCGTCAGATGGATTTTTAGGAAGAGGATAAAGGGTGGTAGTATGTAGGTTCATTGGAGCTTTAGGTTTAGAGGTACCGGTCCGACTTCGGGTTTGCATTGGGTGACGAGTAGGAGGTGGTACTGTTGATGTGGGGACAGTTTGTGAGGGTTGTTGAGATTGTGAAAGGGGCTGATCAACAGGTTGGGAAGGGACTGTTGGTTGTTTGGAGCGACGTGAATAGATGAGAATCGTAGGGGGTCTGTCCTGAGTTGTAGTTGTGGTATGAGATGGAGTTGGGTTATGGATAGGAGATGAAGAGGGGGGTGATTGTGGTAGGAGGAAGTTGAGAGCACCATATAGATGGGTGAGGGTCGGTGTGGAGGAATTGATAGGAAGAGGGTGATGGTTGTGGTTTTGAGAAAGGAAAGACAGTTTCATCAAAGACTACATGATGGAAAATTATTATTTTGTTGGATGAGAGGTCTAAACATTTATACCCCCGATGGTTAGAAGGATACCCTAGAAAAACACATGGGGAAGAACGGTTGACGAGTTTGTGAATGGTGGGGGAGGGGTGAAGGGGAAAAAATAGGCAACCAAAGGTACGTAGATGATTGTAAGTAGGATGATGTTTGTAGAGAAGATAGGTTGGAGTGGTGAAGTTCTTTGTTTTGGCAGGTAGAATGTTCAAAATGTAAGTAGCCATTTCTAAGGCATGATGCCAAAAACAAGGTGGTACTGAGGAATGGGTAAGGAGAGTGCGTATGATATTGTTGATAGAGCAGATTTTGCGTTCCGCCTTACCATTTTGGGGGGAAGTATAGGGACAGGAGAAGCGGAAAGTCACACCATTGTGACTGCAAAATTTATGGAAGGCGTTGTTATTATACTCGGTACCATTGTCACATTGTAAGCATTTAACTGTAGGTTCAAATTGAGTTTTAACAAGGGCATGGAAGGATAGAAAAGTAGAGAAGACCTGTGATTTTTGAGAGATTGGAAATGTCCAAAGATAGTTTGTATAGTCATCCAAAAATAAAATGTAATAACGGTGACCACCCGAACTTAGAATCGGTGAAGTCCATAAATCACTATGAACAATATCAAACGCAGAACATGTAAATGAACTAGATTCAATAAATGGAAGTTTAACTTGCTTGCCAAAAACACAAGACTGACATAAAGAAGACGAAGGTTTTAATTTTCCACAACTAATGCTATTGTTTTGTTTAAGACAACGAATTAAATTTATATCCGGGTGTCTGAGACGACGATGCCAGACATCTTGAGACGATGCAGCAAAAGTAGAAGGAGGTATGACTTGAGATGGCAGCGGAGAAGTGAGGGGGTAGAGCGGTCCGGTGCTGTTACATTGAATTATAGGTATCCGGGTCTGAAAATCGCTTACAAGAAAACCGAAACGATCAAACTCAATAGATATGTTGTTGTCAGTTGTTAAACGCCTGACAGAAAGTAAATTGGTAATTAGGTTAGGAGCATAAAGAATGTGATTAGTTGAAGAGGGGGGAAAGGAGTTGGTAAGGTGGAATGACCAGTACCATGGATTGGGATTTGGAAGCCATTACCAACAATAATATGTTTTAAATGAGACTTGTTGAAAGAAGACGGGAGATTACCTTGTGTGTTCGTAATGTGGGATGTGGCGCTAGAATCAAGGTACCAATTGTTGTCCGGTGGATTAAGCGACATAGTGTGCAATGCTTGATCACTCTCGGTTGGAGCATAAGCGACATAGAGTTTGGTATAACGTTCAGCAAGTTTTTCCAAGGACACCACCATAAGAACATTAAGTAGCTACAAAAATAAGTAAGTCCAGTTCAGATTCTAAAGTGTAATGTTAGCTAATATATCAATACCATTTCCTGTGAACGTCTATTCTTCTCTCATTCTGTATTGGGTGTGTACAACTTTTTAGGGCAGAATTAACAAATGTTTGGAGACCATTTATTTTCTGTAAATATTCTTTGTTTTCAAGTATTCTATGAAATCACAACAACGCACTATGAACGAATCATAAAGCTGACTTGCCATTAAATTCAAGAAAAAAAAAAAAAAAACCATTCACGCATTTCATCAAACAGTTAATATTCATCAGACTCATATTTTTGCAACTAGCATGTACGAATGATCCTAAACAATTAATATTCATTAAACTCACATTTCGATGGATTCAAATGATTTGGCAGCGGTTTCTGACGGATTCAATAAGAATTTGCATATTCGATAAAGGATTCAGATGATTTGGTTGCGGTTTAGAATCTGGAATTGGTTTTGTTAAGAGTGTCGAAACCCTCATCTTCAAGAATGTTGTGTACTTCTCCAAACAGGGGTCTGAAAGTAGAATTGTTGGGAGCCTTGTGCTCTATAGTTATATGCTCTCGTTGGAAAACTCCAGAGTTTTTAATCATCGATCAAGATGCAGTGTTTAATGAGATTCAATTGCTATCCTTCAACAGGGTAAACAACAGAGGCAGTAGATTCAACTTTTGACCATTTTGCCCCTGGTGATGCTTTGGCGAAATTCAACAGTTTTTTTTTTTTTTTTTTTTGGTGCTGCCTTTGCTTTCATCTCAAAGCTTCATGTGCACAATTCTTTCTTACAATTTGGAGACATCAAAGTTTGTAGTTTTCATGGTGTTGCCTCTGTTTCAAGACATAATTTATCCTTTCTTTTGGCAGCCGAATTGGGAGCATTGATCAGTTTGATAGATATGTTTGCTTTTGGAATGCAAGTTTTGACCAGACTTACTTGGAAAACAAAATTAAATATGCCTAACAATTTAATCGAAATTATATTCCACTTCTTATTCCAACAAAAGATGTGGCGTGAATAGTGTCATTAATACTTGAAGATAAAGATGTGCAGATGAATTTTAAAAGTTTTGTGTAAACTAATCAGTTGTGGGAATATGAGAAACAAACAATAATACAGTTGTATTTCACTTTTTATTTAGTTATCTTCATTTTTAAGTCTATTCAAGTATGAGACGTTTTAGACTCTTAAGGAGATAAAAGGAATTAACAGATGAAATAAATGCAGGGAACAATAAGAGCAATCAGTTTTTATTTAATTATCTTCATATTTATACTCTCTAATTTACGGTTTTCCCTCATTTACACCATCAATGAACACACCATGTGCATTTCTTTTTTTAGAGTGTTTTGAAGGACCATTATGTTATGTCCTATCTCCATTGACCCATTCACACAGTTTTCACATGGATCATCTATATAATAGTCTTAGTTACAGAACTAATTAGGAAGTAAAACACAGTCGAAGTGAAATTTCTGTTAGCATTTCTCAAAAAACAAAAATAAATACGTCTAAATAATCAAGTTAAGTTATATTAATTATCACATTGTTAAATCCAACAATAACATATAATACCACATGTTGTCATTTCGTAATCCTAGCGCCTTGCTAAATTTCGGGTTACAAGGAATTTTATTGTTCTAAAAAAACGATCAATGTCATGTGAGATAGATACAATTCAAAGTGTAGTACACACCTTTGTGGAAAATTTTGACACGTCAAAAGACACACCTTGTGGAAAAATATGACATTGTCCAAATTTCCTTTTCGAGCACGTGAAAAAGAAAACAATAGAACAAGGTAGCTCAAGTATAAATTAAGACATGCAAACCATTCCTTTTTTATTGAAAGAAACATGACAAAACAAATAATGTCTTCTTCAAACTTGTTATTTTTCTCTATAACTCTACTTATCATCACACTCTCCCCGATACCAAATTTCACTTCTGCTTCTTTGGAGGAAGCCGATGCTCTTCTTAAATGGAAAGCAAGCCTTGAAATCCCAAAAAAATCCTTGCTCTCTTCAAGGATTCCCATCCTTTTGAATTCCAGTGCATCGGTTCCATGCACTTATTGGTTTGGAGTAGTTTGCAATGCTGATGGGAGCATTCAGAGGCTAAACCTCACATCATCTGGATTAAAGGGTACGCTTCATCAATTTCCATTCTCTTTGCTACACAATCTTACGCATTTTGATCTCAGTCTAAACAACTTCTTTGGCCCCATCCCACAAGAAATCCAACTTTTGTCCAAACTTGTATATCTTGATTTTACAAAGAATAAGTTTTCTGGAGTAATCCCACCTGAAATTGGAACCCTGCACCAACTATCCATCTTGTACCTAATCTCAACAATATATCTGGCTCAATTCCTTCATCATTGGGTGATTTGACACCTTTGATTGTCCTTTGTTTGCATCAAAATCAACTCTCTGGTCCCATTCCTATTGAACTTGGAAATCTGAAGTCTCTCACTCATCTTACGGTGTACAAAAATCTACTTAGTGGTTCTATTCCATCATCATTGGGTAATTTAACATCTTTGAATCTCCTTTATTTGTACCAGTTGAACTTGGGAATCTGAAGTCTCTCACTGATCTTCAATTGAGCGTCAATCAACTTAATGGTTCTATTCCTTCATCATTGGGTCATTTGACATCTTTGAATTTCCTTTATTTGTTTCAAAATCAACTCTTTGGTCCCATTCATGTAGAACTTGGGAATTTGAAGTCTCTCACCCATCTTGCTGTGAGTGAGAATCAACTTAATGGCTCTATTCCTTCATCATTGGGTGATTTGACATCTTTGAATGTCCTTTATTTGCACTAGAATCATCTCTCAGGTCCCATTCCTATTGAACTTGGGAATTTGAAGTCTCTCATCCATCTAGCTGTGCGTGATAATCAACTTAATGGTTCTATTCCTTCATCACTAGCAAATTGGAGCAACATACAATGGTTGTCCCTAGTTAGAATAAATTATCTGGTCCCATTCCTAGTGAAATTGGGATATTGAAGTCTCTCACACATCTTTTGGTGGGTAGAAATCAGCTTAGTGGTTTTATTCCTTCATCATTTGGTAATTTGACATCTTTAAATCAACTTTATATGCATGAAAATGAGCTTGCTGGCCCCATTCCTAGTGAACTTGGGAAATTGAAGTATCTCACGGACTTTCATGTGAACAACAATCAAATTACTGGTTCTCTTCCTCCAGAATTTGGAAATTTAACTCAACTACGAAGACTTAATCTGTTTTCAAATCATTTGGTTGGTGAGATCCCAAAGGAGTTTGGGAAGATGATACTTATGTTGGAATTGTACTTATCTGGCAACCAACTTTCAGGTGGTATACCTCTAGAGCTTGGATTTTGTGAAGTCCTTGAAGTACTCGATCTATCCAAAAATAGATTGAATGGGACAATTCCAAGAAGTATAGATCAATGGGCACACCTCCACTGCTTGAATCTTAGTAATAACAAGCTCATTGAGAAAATTCCATCCGAGATTGGCAAATTAGTTCATCTTACGGAACTTGATTTATCTCATAATTTTCTCATGAAAGAGATACCATCTGAAGTTCAAAGTTTGCAGAGTTTGCAAAAATTGGATCTTTCTCACAATAGACTATCTGGTTCCATTCATGACACTTTTACAAGTTTGCCTAACGGTATTGATATCAACCTTTGTTTCAATAAGCTGTCCGGTCTAGTCCCCCCTTACGCCAACTTTGTGAATGCGTCCATTGAAAGCAATCCAAATTTGTGTGGGAATAATACTGGACTGAAACTTTGTCCAAGTCAGATTATGAAGAAGAAAAATGATCCCTTTCATCACAAGCTCATCCTTGTAATTACACTCCCCCTTGTTTGGACTGTTTTAGTTGGTGTATTCATGTATGGCCTCATTGCTTATCAACAACAACAGAAAAAGTCTCCACAAAAACCACCGGACAAACAAAGTGGTGATTATTTCTCTGTCACAAGTTTTGATGGAAAACTGGTGTATGCTGAATTCTTGAAAGCAACAACTGATTTCGATGAAGCATACTCCATTGGGACGGGAGGATATGGGACTGTGTACAAAGCTGAGCTACAACCTAACAATGTGGTAGCTGTCTAAAGATAAATGTAATTCCTTGCCTTTACATTAAACAATGAACCGTATAAATACAAAAGGATTTCTCAAAGAAAGGAAAGGATATACACCATCAATTACATAAATACATATACAAAATATCTCTCGCTAAGAGTCCCCCTCAGTCTTAGCGGGAGGAAGACGGACGCTGAGACTGTGTCTAAAATCGAGAAATAGCTGTCGCGGAAGACCTTTAGTAAAGATGTCAGCATATTGATAAGTAGATGGAATATGAAGAACTCGAATCTGACCAATAGCGACCTTTTCACGAACAAAGTGTATATCCATTTCAATGTGCTTGGTACGTTGGTGTTGCACAGGATTACTGGATAAATAGACAGCAGAGACATTGTCACAATAGACGATCGTGGCACGTTTCAGAGGGGTGTGTAGTTCGAGAAGAAGGTTGCGAAGCCAACAGGCTTCAGCAACGACATTAGCAACACCACAGTATTCGGCTTCAGCACTTGACCTTGAAAGAGTGGCTTGACGTTTAGCAGACCATGAGATGAGATTGTCACCGAGAAAAACGCAATATCCGGATGTGGAGCGGCGGGTATCCGGGCAACCGCCCCAATCAGCATCAGTATAGGACACTAACTGAGTGGAAGGTGAGGAAAATAACGTGAGACCATGATCTGGGGTGCCTTTGATGTACCATATAATCCGTTTTAAGGCATTAAAGTGGCCGATTTTCGGAGCGTGCATAAAGAGGCAGATCTGTTGCATGGCGTATGCAATGTCCGAACATGTGAATGTAAGATATTGGAGAGCTCCCGCAAGACTCCGATATAGAGATGGATCAGCCACAGGATCACCAGCATGAAGACTTAGTTTGGAATTAGTGTCAACGGGAGTGGTGACTGGTTTGCATGTTTCCATGTTGGCACGTTTGAGGATTTCGTCAATGTATTTGCGTTGAGATAAGAACATGGTGTTCTTGGTGCGCGTGACATCAATTCCAAGGAAGTAAGAAAGCGGGCCAAGATCAGTCATGTCGAATTCCCGTTTTAGAGCACCGAGGAGCCAAGTCTTGAGTGTTGTAGATGAGGTAGCTAACACTATGTCATCGACATACAATAGTAGATAAGCGGTATCATGTTGTTTTTGGTAGATAAATAAGGAATTGTCACTCTTGCTGCACACAAATCCAATAGTTAGTAAATAAGATGCGAATCGTTGATACCATGCACGCGGTGCCTGTTTCAACCCATACAAGGATTTCTTTAATTTGCAAACATGGTCCGGATAACGGGTGTTAAAAAAACCAGGTGGCTGGTGCATGTATACGGTTTCCTTCAATTGACCATGTAAGAAAGCGTTTTTCACATCCAATTGATGTACATCCCAATCTCGTGCCATGGCAAGACTAAGAACAGTACGAATAGTGGCAGGTTTTACAACCGGGCTGAAGGTTTCATCGCAATCAATACCAACTTCTTGTGTTTTTCCATTCACTACAAGTTGTGCCTTGTAGCGCTCCAAAGTGCCATCTGCCTTAAACTTGTGCCGAAATAACCAGTGAAAGCGAATAACATTGTGATCGGATGGTCTAGGCACAAGATCCCATGTTCCCTGTTTCAATAAAGCATTATATTCAGTAGTCATAGCATCGAGCCAGTTTTGATCTTGCAAAGCGACCCTTGGGTTGGATGGGATTAGGGATATTTGTTGAGTGTGGAGTGTGTATTTGGGGTTTGGTTTGACAATTCCACTTTTAGATCGTGTATACATGTGAGAGGATGGTGGAGGGTTAGGGATAATCGGCGGTGATGGTGGTGAGGGAGGTGGGGAAGGTGGAGGTGAGAGTTGTGGAGAAGTTTGAGGTAAGGGTGGGGGTGAAGGTGGTGGGTAGGGTTGTGTTGTATTCGTTGGGATAAGTTGAGGGTGAATTAAGTATGGTGATGGGTCGTTTGCATCTAGAAACTTATAGGATTCAGCTCGATATTTTGCAATATTAGAATAAGGGAAAATGTGTTCATGAAAAGTGACATGGCGAGAGATTAGTGGTTTGGAGTTATCGAGTGGTAGGCATAGATAACCACGATGATTGTCGGGATACCCAAGGAATATAAACGGGAGGGATCGTGTGGCTAGTTTGTGGGGGATGGTGGATGTGGTGTTAGGGTAACATAGACACCCAAATGTTCGTAAATGTTTATATGTGGGGGTACGAAGGTAAAGAATTTGAGTTGGTGTTTTGTTACCAATGACACGTGATGGGAGGATGTTGGTCAGATATGTGGCTGTATGGATCGCATAGTTCCAAAAAGAGGGTGGTAGGGATGCATGAATTAAAGATGTTTGGACCATGTTATTTAGGGTGCAAATTATACGTTCTGCTTTGCCATTATGGGAGGAGGTGTATGGGCATGTGAATCGAAGGTGAACACCATTGGTGTTACAAAACCGTGTGAAGGCTGCATTGTGAAATTCACATCCATTGTCGCACTGAAAGGATTTAATGTTGGTGGAAAACTGAGTTTGGACATATTTATAGAATTGCGCGAGGAGCAGAAAAGTTTCAGATTTGGCTTTAATGGGAAACGTCCAAATATAGTGTGAAAAAACATCAAGTAACACAAGGTAGTAGTTATGGTTGAGTTTACTTTTAACAGGTGATGTCCATATATCAGCATGAATGATATCAAAGGGTAAATAGGTAACATAAACAGAATCATTAAAGGGTAATTGACAATGTTTTCCAAACGAGCAAGCATTACATGAAAACAAAGTATTTTTAGAGCTAGAAAAAGAAAGACATGAATTTAAATATTGTAAAGTAAAGACAGCAGGATGACCAAGACGGTTGTGCCACATATTTGGAGACTCCGTATAAAAAGCGACAGGTGGGTGCTCGTTGGTAAGTGAGGGTGTGAGAGGATAGAGATCGCCAGGGCTGTCACACCGGGTGATATGTTTCTTCGTGATTAGATCCTTCACAGTAAAACCGAATGGGTCAAATTCAACAGATGTATTATTTTCACGAGTAAATTGTTTCACAACAACAAGGTTTTTGATGATGTTAGGGACAAGGCAAACATTGTTTAGGCGATAAGGGTGATTGAGGTATGAGGTGATTGCATTCCCATAGCCAAAAACTGGAACTCGATGGCCATTACCAACCAAAATATAATTATCTTTATTAAAACGAGAGAGATTAGAGAGCTTACCAGCATCGCTAGTGAGGTGGGAGGTTGATCCTGTATCCATATACCATGAGCTATCAGGTGGTTGCATGTGCATGGTTTGGAATGCTTGTGCAAGTTCGGTTGGTGCCATCTGGCTGGAGTGGGTCGATTGTGATTCTGAGGCAAAGTTGGCTTGTGGATCCGTGTGAACTTGATGTTGCTGCTGTGCGAGTGAGAATCGAATGTTTGGACGAGGCCCCATAATTCCAACATGAGGAGCTGTGGGGTATGGGTAAGGTGGGGCGGACCAGGGGTATGGGGGAAACCAACCGGGCCATTGCCATGGGGTCTGTTGCGATGAGAATCTGCCGTTACCACGTCCGCGTCCTCTGCCGCCTCGTTGTCCGCCGCGAGACCAACGTCCTCCGCCACGCTGATTACCCCGGTGTTGACCACAACCATTGTAGCCTGAGGTGTGGTTATTAGTGCTGTTGTTGGAGTGTTCAGAAGTACCGAAGTCAGCCCGTTGAGTGACAAGAGCTTGGGGAATGGTGGGGTTAGGTTTGTTACGGCGGGCTTCTTCAAGGAGAAGGGAGGATTACGCTTTTGTAAAGCTGGGAAGGGGGTTGGTTTGTTGTATAATGGTAGCGACAGTATCGTAGTCCCCCTTTGTGAGACCGGAGATGAGTTGGAGGACCATCTTCGTTTCTGACACCGGGTTTCCAACGTTTTCTAGTTGATCGACTAGGTTCTTGAGGCATGCACAATATTCAGTGATGTTAGAGAAGGCAGAGAGATGGGTGTTGTTAAATTGTTCCTCGAGGTAAACTGTGCGAGTGGTTTTATTATCAAGAAATATCTCCTGAAGATGCTTCCAAAGGTCGAGGGCCGATGCACCAGGTTTCATGATGGTGTGAGCGAGATCAGGTGTTATGGTGGTGTAGATCCATGATTTTACAAGGGCATCAAGACGATCCCATGTGTCCTTATCAACATCGGTGGGTTTGGGGGCTTTGTCATCGATATGATCCTTCACGTTGTAAGCACAAACGTGAATGTTGAAGAATTCCACCCATGAAGGGTAGTGATCGTCAGACCGGTTGAGAATGAGAGGTATGGCATTCCTGATGTTGCTCACTGTGAATGTCGGGTGGAATGTGGATTTGGTGGTTGCTGCGTCGCCTGGCATGTCGAGGAGAAAAGAAGGAGATGTGGGGAAAAGAACAGAGGTCGACTGCTATGAAGGGTGCGATGGCTTAGGGTTAGGCCAAAAGAGGCTCTGATACCATAAAGATAAATGTAATTCCTTGCCTTTACATTAAACAATGAACCGTATAAATACAAAAGGATTTCTCAAAGAAAGGAAAGGATATACACCATCAATTACATAAATACATATACAAAATATCTCTCGCTAAGACTGTCAAGAAACTTCACTCATCATCTGAGAATGTTGATCACAATGGATTCCTTAACGAGGTACGAGCATTAACAAACATAAGGCATTGAAACATAGTGAAACTCTATGGATATTGCTCCCATGTTTGCTACTTATTTTTGATTTATGAATACCTTGAAAGAGGAAGCCTTGGATCCATCTTAAGAAGCGATGTCTTAGCAAAAGAATTGGATTGGTTGAAAAGGGTAAATATTGTAAAGGGTATAGCTGATGGTTTGGCTTATATGCATCATGACTGCTCACTCCCTATAATTCATAGAGACGTATCCATAGCCAACATTCTTCTTGACTCTGATTACGAAGCACATATTTCTGATTTTGGCACATCCAAGCTATTAAAGCTCGATTCATCCAACTGGACCGCAATTGCAGGCACATATGGTTATATTGCGCCAGGTAACACAATCTTGTGATTGTACATCTACATCTTCTTAAGTTTCATGATATATATAAATAATTATAGGCACATATATGTATCTATGTCAGAGTCTTGTGGGTTGATATATCTTTTTTTGTTTTTATCTCATGTTCCTTTGGATGTAGAGCTTGCTTATACGATGGTGGGAAATGAGAAATGTGATGTGTATAGCTTTGGAGTTGTTGTACTAGAAGTTATAATGGGAAAGCATCCAGGAGATCTCGTAACATCTTTACCAACATTATCTGATGCCAGAAAATGTGGAAGATAGTCGGATACCTCCTCCCTCATCCCAAGTTGAGAAACAAGTTAGGTTGGTTCTGAGTCTCGCAAGAGTATGTTTGAACTCCAATCCACTTGAAAGACCAACAATGCAACAAGTTTCAAATCGATTAATGAAGGATCTGCTTTGAATTGGCATCTGTTGCCTGATCAATATAGTGTACTTTCAGTGTTCTTTACTTTTCTTAAGTTCCCTATATGCACCCTGCCAATATGTATTCATTTGAATGGCTTTTTGTTAAGAAACTTCACATATGTTTGTGGTAGTAAAGAAATAAGTCAATGAAGATTACTACACTTCTAAAAACACAACACTGATAACCAAGGACAACGCCATATATACATCCCCCAAACAAGAAATTTTGTAAAATTTTGTTGGTATGCTTTTTATATTGATTTCAATTTTTATTTATCTAGTAAGTTGCATGTTTTAAAATGAATAATTATTATAACGATGTCATACTTTAAAAAAAATATTTGTCAGTATTACTATACGATTTTATCCTCGCACAACATGTGGGTAAACACGTGGTTAATTAATATGATATATGGGCCATAATTTGGGTCGTACATCATGTTAATTATACAACCTGTACCCCACCTAAGTCATTCAAATATACAAAATATATTTCTATTCTAGATTTTATGATCAGCAACCAAAACTAATTGTGAGATATGTCATTGGAGAATTTTATCAAACACATGGCTTTATAGATGAGATGTGTCTTTACAAAGATGGAAAATTTTAAATATAAAGAAAAAAAAATCATATATCAATGCTTTTGAGCTATTGAATTCCAAATTTGACAGCCTAAAACATTTACACAAGATAACTAATTAACTAAATAGTTCAACTAAAACATACATGATTTTAGTTATTGGTATGCATCTGGTCTCATACAGCTGACGTGGCATTATAGGCATCTGGAAAGTGAATTCATGATGCATCCTACTGCTATATTTGGAATCTCTCTTACTCAGTGTGAGATTTTCATGGTGTTCGATATGCATCCTACTGTCATAAATTCATGGCCTTTCTCCAAAGGAGTTTCCTTCAACTTCATTACCTTTATCTTGATTTATGTCAAGGGTTAAAGATAGGTCATCTTTTTATAATAATACAGCTGACGTGGCACTTTGCGACTACTATAGAAGTGCAGCACTACCAACAAACCATACAGCTGATGTGGCGTTACATTCAAAAATAAAAAAATCTTTTAAGCATTTCATCAAACAATTAACAGTCACTAAATGGAGTGTTGGAAGAAGATAACATAGAAAAATGAGGAAAGACACCGATACATACCTTTTGAGAATAAGCACCAATCTGTTTCAAGTTGATAAATTACCTGCGATTTGGATGGATTCAAATGATTTGGCAGCGGTTTCAATATGAATTTGCATGCTCGATGAGATTCAATTGCTATCCTTCAACTGGGTAAATATCAGACGCAGTAGATTCAAACTTGCAACGGATAACATTTTCTGCACTTGGTGTCTTGGTGTTGTTGAGGTTTTCACAGCCATTGCAGATTGAATCGGCAACTGTTTGATTTCCATGGTCTGGTGTTGAATTCGTGGTGTTGATGAATTGGGCAAATAACAGAGGCAGTAGCTTTATGGTGTTGTACATACATGCTGTGACATGGCTTTCTCCTTTTCGATTTAATTTTTGACCATTTTGCCCCTGGTGTTGCTTTGGCAAAATTCAACGATTTTTTGGTGCTTCCTTCGATTTAATTCCTCCTTTCTTCTGGGTGACGAATTGGGAGCATTGATCAATTTGATATGTATGTTTTCTTTTGGAAAGAAAGTTTTATTAGAATTACATGGAGAACAAACATAGACGTATTCTGATCGAGTTATATTGCACTTTTTATCCCAACAAAAAATCTGTCGAGAATTCTGTCACTAATATGTGAAGATAATTAAGGACACTAAGAGAAAGAATTGATCTTGAAATGGGATGTGTAGATGAATTCTAATGATTTGTGTAAACTAATCAGTTGTGGAAATATGAGAGACAAACAATAATACATTTGTATTTCACTTTTAATTTAATTATTTTTATTTTTAAGTCTATGTAAGTATGAGAATTTTTAGACGTAATATATGAAATAGATTGCAGGGAACAATAAGAACCATCATTTTTTATATAAATATCTTCATATTTATTTTCTTTAATTTACGGTTTTCCCTCATTCACACCTTCAATGAACACACCATGTGCATTTGTTTTTTTAGTCTTTTAAAGGACCGTTATTTTATGTCCCTATCACCATTGTGCTATTCACACAGTTTTCACATGGATCATCTATATAACAGTCTCAGTTACAAAAATAATTATGCAGTAAAACACACCTTGGGTGAAACTTCTATTAGTATTAACCAGAAAACAAAAAATAAATGTCTAAAAATCAAGTTAAGTTTTATTATTACATTAACAATAACATATAATACCGCATGTTGTCTTTTTGTAATCCTAGCGCCTAGCTAAAGTGTCTAAATAATCAAGTTAAGTTTTATTATTACATTGTCTTTTGGTTTTCTGGTTAATACTAATACACGGCTTTGTGGAAAAATTTGACACCGACTTCAAACGTAAAACACACTCCTTGTGGAAAAATATGACATTGCCTTCTCAAGTATGTGAAAAAGAAAACAAGAGAAAAAGGTAGCTCAAGTATAAATTAGGACATGCAAACTATTCTTTTTTATTAAAAGCAACATGTCAAAGAAAATAATGTCGTCTTCAAACTTATTATTTTTCTCTATGGCTCTACTAATCATCACACTCTTCTCCATACCAAATTTCACTTCTGCTTCTTTGGAGCAAGCCAATGCTCTTCTTAAATGGAAAGCAAGCCTTGAAATCCCAAAAAAATCCTTACTCTCTTCATGGATTCCTCTCCCTTTGAATTCCAGTGCATTAGTTCCATGCACTTCTTGGTTTGGAGTAGTTTGCAATGATGATGGGAGCATTCAGAATTTGAACCTCACATCATCTGGACTAAAGGGTACGCTTCATCAATTTCCATTCTCTTTGCTACACAATCTTACACATTTTGATCTCTATATGAACAAGTTCTTTGGCCCCATCCCACCAGAAATCCAACTTTTGTCCAAACTTGCATATCTTGATTTTTCATTGAACAAGTTTTCTGGAGTAATCCCACCTGAAATAGGAAACCTGCACCGGCTAACCATCTTGTACTTATACTCAAACAATATCTCGGGTCCCATTCCTGTTGAACTTGGGAATTTGAAGTCTCTCACTGATCTTGTTGTGTGTGAGAATCAACTTAATGGATCTATTCCTTCATCATTGGGTAATTTGACATCTTTGAATCTCCTTTATTTGTATGAAAATCAGCTCTCTGGTCCCATTCCTGTGGAACTTGGGAATTTGAAGTCTCTCACTGGTCTTGCTGCGAATGAGAATCAACTTAATGGCTCTATTCCTTCATCATTGGGTAATTTGACATCTTTGAATGTCCTTTATTTGCACACTAATCAGCTCTCTGGTCCCATTCCTGTTGAACTTGGGAATTTGAAGTCTCTCACTGATCTTGCTGTGTTTGAGAATCAACTTAATGGCTCTATTCCTTCATCATTGGGTAATTTGACATCTTTGAATGCCCTTTATATGCACACCAATCAGCTCTCTGGTCCCATTCCTGTTGAACTTGGGAATTTGAAGTCTCTCACTGATCTTGATGTGTTTTAGAATCAACTTAATGGCTCTATTCCTTCATCATTGGGTAATTTGGCATCTTTGAATGCCCTTTATATGCACACCAATCAGCTCTCTGGTCCCATTCCTGTTGAACTTGGGAATTTGAAGTCTCTCACTGATCTTGATGTGTTTGAGAATCAACTTAATGGCTCTATTCCTTCATCATTGGGTAATTTGACATCTTTGAATGCCCTTTATATGCACACCAATCAGCTCTCTGGTCCCATTCCTGTTGAACTTGGGAATTTGAAGTCTCTCACTGATCTTGATGTGTTTGAGAATCAACTTAATGGCTCTATTCCTTCATCATTGGGTAATTTGACATCTTTGAATGCCCTTTATATGCACACCAATCAGCTCTCTGGTCCCATTCCTGTTGAACTTGGGAATTTGAAGTCTCTCACTAATCTTGCTGTGTTTGAAAATCAACTTAATGGCTCTATTCCTTCATCATTGCGTAATTTGGCATCTTTGAATGCCCTTTATATGCACACCAATCAGCTCTCTGGTCCCATTCCTGTTGAACTTGGGAATTTGAAGTCTCTCACTGATCTTGCTGTGTTTAAGAATCAACTTAATGGCTCTATTCCTTCATCATTGGGTAATTTGACATCTTTGAATGCCCTTTATATGCACACCAATCAGCTCTCTGGTCCCATTCCTGTTGAACTTGGGAATTTGAAGTCTCTCACTGATCTTGCTGTGTTTAAGAATCAACTTAATGGCTCTATTCCTTCATCATTGGGTAATTTGCATCTTTGAATGCCCTTTATATGCACACCAATCAGCTCTCTGGTCCCATTCCTGTTGAACTTGGGAATTTGAAGTCTCTCACTGATCTTGATGTGTTTGAGAATCAACTTAATGGCTCTATTCCTTCATCATTGGGTAATTTGACATCTTTGAATGCCATTTATATGCACATCAATCAGCTCTCTGGTCCCATTCCTGTTGAACTTGGGAATTTGAAGTCTCTCACTGATCTTGCTGTGTTTAAGAATCAACTTAATGGCTCTATTCCTTCATCATTGGGTAATTTGACATCTTTGAATGCCCTTTATATGCACACCAATCAGCTCTCTGGTCCCATTCCTGTTGAACTTGGGAATTTGAAGTCTCTCACTGATCTTGCTGTGTTTGAAATCAACTTAATGGCTCTATTCCTTCATCATTGGGTAATTTGCATCTTTGAATGCCCTTTATATGCACACCAATCAGCTCTCTGGTCCCATTCCTGTTGAACTTGGGAATTTGAAGTCTCTCACTGATCTTGATGTGTTTGAGAATCAACTTAATGGCTCTATTCCTTCATCATTGGGTAATTTGACATCTTTGAATGCCCTTTATATGCACACCAATCAGCTCTCTGGTCCCATTCCTGTTGAACTTGGGAATTTGAAGTCTCTCACTAATCTTGCTGTGTTTGAAAATCAACTTAATGGCTCTATTCCTTCATCATTGGGTAATTTGGCATCTTTGAATGCCCTTTATATGCACACCAATCAGCTCTCTGGTCCCATTCCTGTTGAACTTGGGAATTTGAAGTCTCTCACTGATCTTGCTGTGTTTAAGAATCAACTTAATGGCTCTATTCCTTCATCATTGGGTAATTTGACATCTTTGAATGCCCTTTATATGCACACCAATCAGCTCTCTGGTCCCATTCCTGTTGAACTTGGGAATTTGAAGTCTCTCACTGATCTTGATGTGTTTGAGAATCAACTTAATGGCTCTATTCCTTCATCATTGGGTAATTTGACATCTTTGAATGCCATTTATATGCACATCAATCAGCTCTCTGGTCCCATTCCTGTTGAACTTGGGAATTTGAAGTCTCTCACTGATCTTGCTGTGTTTAAGAATCAACTTAATGGCTCTATTCCTTCATCATTGGGTAATTTGGCATCTTTGAATGCCCTTTATATGCACACCAATCAGCTCTCTGGTCCCATTCCTGTTGAACTTGGGAATTTGAAGTCTCTCACTGATCTTGATGTGTTTGAGAATCAACTTAATGGCTCTATTCCTTCATCATTGGGTAATTTGACATCTTTGAATGCCATTTATATGCACATCAATCAGCTCTCTGGTCCCATTCCTGTTGAACTTGGGAATTTGAAGTCTCTCACTGATCTTGCTGTGTTTAAGAATCAACTTAATGGCTCTATTCCTTCATCATTGGGTAATTTGCATCTTTGAATGCCCTTTATATGCACACCAATCAGCTCTCTGGTCCCATTCCTGTTGAACTTGGGAATTTGAAGTCTCTCACTGATCTTGATGTGTTTGAGAATCAACTTAATGGCTCTATTCCTTCATCATTGGGTAATTTGACATCTTTGAATGCCATTTATATGCACATCAATCAGCTCTCTGGTCCCATTCCTGTTGAACTTGGGAATTTGAAGTCTCTCACTGATCTTGCTGTGTTTAAGAATCAACTTAATGGCTCTATTCCTTCATCATTGGGTAATTTGACATCTTTGAATGCCCTTTATATGCACACCAATCAGCTCTCTGGTCCCATTCCTGTTGAACTTGGGAATTTGAAGTCTCTCACTGATCTTGATGTGTTTGAGAATCAACTTAATGGCTCTATTCCTTCATCATTGGGTAATTTGACATCTTTGAATGCCCTTTATATGCACACCAATCAGCTCTCTGGTCCCATTCCTGTTGAACTTGGGAATTTGAAGTCTCTCACTGATCTTGATGTGTTTGAGAATCAACTTAATGGCTCTATTCCTTCATCATTGGGTAATTTGACATCTTTGAATGCCCTTTATATGCACACCAATCAGCTCTCTGGTCCCATTCCTGTTGAACTTGGGAATTTGAAGTCTCTCACTGATCTTGATGTGTTTGAGAATCAACTTAATGGCTCTATTCCTTCATCATTGGGTAATTTGACATCTTTGAATGCCCTTTATATGCACACCAATCAGCTCTCTGGTCCCATTCCTGTTGAACTTGGGAATTTGAAGTCTCTCACTGATCTTGCTGTGTTTAAGAATCAACTTAATGGCTCTATTCCTTCATCATTGGGTAATTTGACATCTTTGAATGCCCTTTATATGCACACCAATCAGCTCTCTGGTCCCATTCCTGTTGAACTTGGGAATTTGAAGTCTCTCACTGATCTTGATGTGTTTGAGAATCAACTTAATGGCTCTATTCCTTCATCATTGGGTAATTTGACATCTTTGAATGCCCTTTATATGCACACCAATCAGCTCTCTGGTCCCATTCCTGTTGAACTTGGGAATTTGAAGTCTCTCACTGATCTTGCTGTGTTTAAGAATCAACTTAATGGCTCTATTCCTTCATCATTGGGTAATTTGACATCTTTGAATGCCCTTTATATGCACACCAATCAGCTCTCTGGTCCCATTCCTGTTGAACTTGGGAATTTGAAGTCTCTCACTGATCTTGATGTGTTTGAGAATCAACTTAATGGCTCTATTCCTTCATCATTGGGTAATTTGACATCTTTGAATGCCTTTATATGCACATCAATCAGCTCTCTGGTCCCATTCCTGTTGAACTTGGGAATTTGAAGTCTCTCACTGATCTTGCTGTGTTTAAGAATCAACTTAATGGCTCTATTCCTTCATCATTGGGTAATTTGACATCTTTGAATGCCCTTTATATGCACACCAATCAGCTCTCTGGTCCCATTCCTGTTGAACTTGGGAATTTGAAGTCTCTCACTGATCTTGATGTGTTTGAGAATCAACTTAATGGCTCTATTCCTTCATCATTGGGTAATTTGACATCTTTGAATGCCATTTATATGCACATCAATCAGCTCTCTGGTCCCATTCCTGTTGAACTTGGGAATTTGAAGTCTCTCACTGATCTTGCTGTGTTTAAGAATCAACTTAATGGCTCTATTCCTTCATCATTGGGTAATTTGACATCTTTGAATGCCCTTTATATGCACACCAATCAGCTCTCTGGTCCCATTCCTGTTGAACTTGGGAATTTGAAGTCTCTCACTGATCTTGATGTGTTTGAGAATCAACTTAATGGCTCTATTCCTTCATCATTGGGTAATTTGACATCTTTGAATGCCTTTATATGCACATCAATCAGCTCTCTGGTCCCATTCCTGTTGAACTTGGGAATTTGAAGTCTCTCACTGATCTTGCTGTGTTTAAGAATCAACTTAATGGCTCTATTCCTTCATCATTGGGTAATTTGCATCTTTGAATGCCTTTATATGCACACCAATCAGCTCTCTGGTCCCATTCCTGTTGAACTTGGGAATTTGAAGTCTCTCACTGATCTTGATGTGTTTGAGAATCAACTTAATGGCTCTATTCCTTCATCATTGGGTAATTTGACATCTTTGAATGCCTTTATATGCACATCAATCAGCTCTCTGGTCCCATTCCTGTTGAACTTGGGAATTTGAAGTCTCTCACTGATCTTGCTGTGTTTAAGAATCAACTTAATGGCTCTATTCCTTCATCATTGGGTAATTTGACCATCTTTGAATGCCCTTTATATGCACACCAATCAGCTCTCTGGTCCCATTCCTGTTGAACTTGGGAATTTGAAGTCTCTCACTGATCTTGATGTGTTTGAGAATCAACTTAATGGCTCTATTCCTTCATCATTGGGTAATTTGCATCTTTGAATGCCCTTTATATGCACACCAATCAGCTCTCTGGTCCCATTCCTGTTGAACTTGGGAATTTGAAGTCTCTCACTGATCTTGATGTGTTTGAGAATCAACTTAATGGCTCTATTCCTTCATCATTGGGTAATTTGACATCTTTGAATGCCCTTTATATGCACACCAATCAGCTCTCTGGTCCCATTCCTGTTGAACTTGGGAATTTGAAGTCTCTCACTGATCTTGATGTGTTTGAGAATCAACTTAATGGCTCTATTCCTTCATCATTGGGTAATTTGACATCTTTGAATGCCTTTATATGCACATCAATCAGCTCTCTGGTCCCATTCCTGTTGAACTTGGGAATTTGAAGTCTCTCACTGATCTTGCTGTGTTTAAGAATCAACTTAATGGCTCTATTCCTTCATCATTGGGTAATTTGACATCTTTGAATGCCCTTTATATGCACACCAATCAGCTCTCTGGTCCCATTCCTGTTGAACTTGGGAATTTGAAGTCTCTCACTGATCTTGATGTGTTTGAGAATCAACTTAATGGCTCTATTCCTTCATCATTGGGTAATTTGACATCTTTGAATGCCTTTATATGCACACCAATCAGCTCTCTGGTCCCATTCCTGTTGAACTTGGGAATTTGAAGTCTCTCACTGATCTTGCTGTGTTTGAAGAATCAACTTAATGGCTCTATTCCTTCATCATTGGGTAATTTGACATCTTTGAATGCCCTTTATATGCACACCAATCAGCTCTCTGGTCCCATTCCTGTTGAACTTGGGAATTTGAAGTCTCTCACTGATCTTGATGTGTTTGAGAATCAACTTAATGGCTCTATTCCTTCATCATTGGGTAATTTGACATCTTTGAATGCCCTTTATATGCACACCAATCAGCTCTCTGGTCCCATTCCTGTTGAACTTGGGAATTTGAAGTCTCTCACTGATCTTGATGTGTTTGAGAATCAACTTAATGGCTCTATTCCTTCATCATTGGGTAATTTGACATCTTTGAATGCCATTTATATGCACATCAATCAGCTCTCTGGTCCCATTCCTGTTGAACTTGGGAATTTGAAGTCTCTCACTGATCTTGCTGTGTTTAAGAATCAACTTAATGGCTCTATTCCTTCATCATTGGGTAATTTGCATCTTTGAATGCCCTTTATATGCACACCAATCAGCTCTCTGGTCCCATTCCTGTTGAACTTGGGAATTTGAAGTCTCTCACTGATCTTGATGTGTTTGAGAATCAACTTAATGGCTCTATTCCTTCATCATTGGGTAATTTGACATCTTTGAATGCCTTTATATGCACATCAATCAGCTCTCTGGTCCCATTCCTGTTGAACTTGGGAATTTGAAGTCTCTCACTGATCTTGCTGTGTTTAAGAATCAACTTAATGGCTCTATTCCTTCATCATTGGGTAATTTGACATCTTTGAATGCCCTTTATATGCACACCAATCAGCTCTCTGGTCCCATTCCTGTTGAACTTGGGAATTTGAAGTCTCTCACTGATCTTGATGTGTTTGAGAATCAACTTAATGGCTCTATTCCTTCATCATTGGGTAATTTGACATCTTTGAATGCCATTTATATGCACATCAATCAGCTCTCTGGTCCCATTCCTGTTGAACTTGGGAATTTGAAGTCTCTCACTAATCTTGCTGTGTTTGAAAATCAACTTAATGGCTCTATTCCTTCATCATTGGGTAATTTGACATCTTTGAATGTTCTTTATATGCGCACCAATCAGCTCTCTGGTCCCATTCCTGTCGAACTTGGGAATTTGAAGTCCCTCAATAAGCTTGATGTGAGCGAGAATCAACTTAGTGGTTCTATTCCTTCATCAATAGCAAACCTCAACAACATACAGTGGCTGTTCCTTGGTGGTAATAAATTATCTGGTCCCATTCCTAGCGAACTTGGGAAGTTGAAGTCTCTCACTCATCTTTCGGTGAGCAGAAATCTGCTTAATGGTTTTATTCCTTCATCATTTGGTGATTTGACATCTTTAAATTTTCTTTATATACATCACAATGAGCTTGTTGGGCGCATTCCTAATGAACTTGGGAAGTTGAAGTCTCTCACTGATTTTAAGGTGAACAACAATAAAATTAGTGGTTCTATTCCTCCAGAGTTTGGAAATTTAACTCAACTACAAAGACTTGATTTGTCTTCGAATCATTTGCTTGATGAGATCCCAAAGGAGTTTGGGAAGATGAAAAATATGTTGGAAGTGTACTTGGCAGGCAACCATCTTTCAAGTGTTATACCTCTAGAGCTTGGATATTGTGAACTCCTTGAAGTACTCGATCTATCCAAAAACAGATTGAATGGGTCGATTCCAACAAGTATCGGTCAATGGGAACAGATCCACTACTTGAATCTTAGTAATAACAAGCTCAGTGAGAAAATTCCATCCGAAATTGGTAAATTAGTTCATCTTACACACCTTGATTTATCTCAGAATTTTCTCACAAAAGATATACCAGCTGAAGTTCAAAGTTTGCAGAGTTTGCAAAAATTGGATTTTTCTCACAATAGACTATCTGGTTCTATTCCTGATGCTTTTGTAAATTTGCCTCGTGGGATTGATATCAACCTTTCTTTCAATAAGCTCTCAGGTCCAGTCCCCCTTTCCGCTAACTTTGTGAATGCGTCCATTGAAAACAATCCAGATTTGTGTGGGAATATTACCGGATTGAAACTTTGTCCAAGTCAGATTATGAAGAAGAAAAATGATCCCTTTGATCACAAGCTCATCCTTGTAATTACGCTCCCTCTTATCGGGGTTGTTTTACTTGGTGTATTCATGTATTGCCTCATTTCTTATCAACAACAAAAGAAAAAGTCTCCACAAAAACCATCGGACGAAGAAAGTGGTGATTATTTCTCTATTACAAATTTTGATGGAAAAGTGGTGTATGTTGAAATCTTGAAGGCAACAAATGATTTCGATGAAGCATACTGCATTGGGACTGGAGGATATGGGACTGTGTACAAAGCCGAGCTACAACCTAACAATGTGGTAGCTGTCAAGAAACTTCACTCATCATCTGAGAATGTTGATCATAATGGATTCCTTAATGAGGTACGAGCATTAACGAACATAAGGCATCGAAACATAGTGAAACTCTATGGATATTGCTCCCACGTTTGCCACTCATTTTTAATTTATGAATACCTCGAAAAGGGAAGCCTTGGATCAATCTTAAGAAGCGATGTCTTAGCAAAAGAATTGGATTGGTTGAAAAGGGTCAATATTGTAAAGGGCGTAGCTAATGGTTTGGCTTATATGCATCACGACTGCTCACCTCCTATAATTCATAGAGACATTTCTATTGCCAACATCCTTCTTGATTCTGATTGTGAGGCACATATTTCTGATTTTGGCACATCCAAGCTTTTGAAGCTCGATTCATCCAACTGGACTGCAATTGCAGGCACCTATGGTTACATTGCACCAGGTGACACATTCTTTTGATTGTGCCTCTACATATTCTTAAGTTTCATGATATATATAAATAAGTATATGCACATATATGTATCTATGTTAGAATCTTGTGGGGTTGATATAGCTCTTTGTTTTTGTCTCATGTTTGTTTGAATGTAGAGCTTGCTTATACAATGGTGGCTACTGAGAAATGCGATGTGTATAGCTTTGGAGTTGTTGCAGTAGAAGTGGTAATGGGAAAGCATCCAGGAGATCTCATAACATCTTTTCCAACATTGTCTGATGATTATTTGGTGCCAGCAAACGTGGGAGATAGTCGGATACCTCCTCCCTCATCACAAGTTGAGAAACAAGTTAGGTTGGTTTTGAGTCTCTCAAGAGCATGTTTGAACTCCAAT